AGTGAGTGTGTTGGAGATGAGTGAGTGTGTTGGAGATGAGTGAGTGTGTCACGGAGATGAGTGAGTGTGTGACGGAGATGAGTGAGTGTGTTGGAGATGAGTGAGTGTGTTGGAGATGAGTGAGTGTGTGACAGAGATGAGTGAGTGTGTGACAGAGATGAGTGAGTGTGTGACAGAGATGAGTGAGTGTGTGACGGAGATGAGTGAGTGTGTGACGGAGATGAGTGAGCGTGTTGGAGATGAGTGAGTGTGTGACAGAGATGAGTGAGTGTGTGACAGAGATGAGTGAGTGTGTGACGATGAGTGAGTGTGTGACAGAGATGAGTGAGTGTGTGACGATGAGTGAGTGTGTGACAGAGATGAGTGAGTGTGTGATGGAGATGAGTGAGTGTGACGGAGATGAGTGAGTGTGTGACGGAGATGAGGGAGTGTGTGACGGAGATGAGGGAGTGTGTGACGGAGATGAGGGAGTGTGTGACGGAGATGAGTGAGTGTGTGACGGAGATGAGTGAGCGTGTTGGAGATGAGTGAGTGTGTGACAGAGATGAGTGAGTGTGTGACAGAGATGAGTGAGTGTGTGACGGAGATGAGTGAGCGTGTTGGAGATGAGTGAGTGTGTGACAGAGATGAGTGAGTGTGTGACGGAGATGAGTGAGTGTGTGACGGAGATGAGTGAGTGTGTTGGAGATGAGTGAGTGTGTGACAGAGATGAGTGAGTGTGTGACAGAGATGAGTGAGTGTGTGACGGAGATGAGTGAGTGTGTGACAGAGATGAGTGAGTGTGTGACGGAGATGAGTGAGCGTGTTGGAGATGAGTGAGTGTGTGACAGAGATGAGTGAGTGTGTGACAGAGATGAGTGAGTGTGTGACAGAGATGAGTGAGTGTGTGACGGAGATGAGTGAGTGTGTTGGAGATGAGGGAGTGTGTGACGGAGATGAGTGAGTGTGTGATGGAGATGAGTGAGTGTGACGGAGATGAGTGAGTGTGTGACGGAGATGAGTGAGTGTGTGACGGAGATGAGTGAGTGTGTGTTGGAGATGAGTGAGTGTGTTGGAGATGAGTGAGTGTGTCACGGAGATGAGTGAGTGTGTGACGGAGATGAGTGAGTGTGTTGGAGATGAGTGAGTGTGTTGGAGATGAGTGAGTGTGTGACAGAGATGAGTGAGTGTGTGACAGAGATGAGTGAGTGTGTGACAGAGATGAGTGAGTGTGTGACGGAGATGAGTGAGTGTGTGACGGAGATGAGTGAGCGTGTTGGAGATGAGTGAGTGTGTGACAGAGATGAGTGAGTGTGTGACAGAGATGAGTGAGTGTGTGACGGAGATGAGTGAGTGTGTGACAGAGATGAGTGAGTGTGTGACGGAGATGAGTGAGCGTGTTGGAGATGAGTGAGTGTGTGACAGAGATGAGTGAGTGTGTGATGGAGATGAGTGAGTGTGACGGAGATGAGTGAGTGTGTGACGGAGATGAGGGAGTGTGTGACGGAGATGAGGGAGTGTGTGACGGAGATGAGTGAGTGTGTGACGGAGATGAGTGTGTGTGTGACGGAGATGAGTGAGTGTGTTGGAGATGATTGAGTGTGTGACGGAGATGAGTGAGCGTGTTGGAGATGAGTGAGTGTGTGACAGAGATGAGTGAGTGTGTGATGGAGATGAGTGAGTGTGACGGAGATGAGTGAGTGTGTGACGGAGATGAGGGAGTGTGTGACGGAGATGAGTGAGTGTGTGACGGAGATGAGTGTGTGTGTGACGGAGATGAGTGAGTGTGTTGGAGATGATTGAGTGTGTGACGGAGATGAGTGAGTGTGTGACGGAGATGAGTGAGTGTGTGATGGAGATGATGTTCAGAGCTGATGGTGCAGAATGGGCTGATGTATTGCCTGATGGTGGTGTGCGGTTCCCTCATGTAGAGGCTGTGTGTGCTGCTGTGACAGTATTAGTTGTGTTACGGTAGTGATTGTGTTCCGGCAGTCATCCAGTTCGGCTTTGTGACTCTGTTCGTGGCCTCGTTCCCGCTGGCGCCGCTGTTCGCCCTCCTCAACAACATCATCGAGATCCGTCTGGACGCCAAGAAGTTTGTGGCAGAGCTCAGAAGACCAGATGCAGCCAGAGGCAAAGACATCGGTGTGTAGACCTCCAACATCTTAAACCCGTCCACTGTCCACAAATATACATGCAGAATATATCTGGAATATTACTATATTATGCTTCAGGAATGTTCTACACACATTATTTTGTTTTTGCCTCTTCTGTGTAGTGTTTATAGAAGGTTCATCTCCAGTCCTGATGATCTGTGTTTCCCTTGTTGTGTCTCTTCAGGAATCTGGTATAATATTCTACGAGGAGTCGCAAAAGTGGCTGTTATTGTCAATGTAAGTTTCACTGAGCCTATATGCTATATTTCTCTATGCTGGAGTACTGCTGTATGACAGGAGTCTGGACAGAGCGGCTGCTTCACTCTGAGTGTTTACTGTAGAGCACAGCAGGTCTGAGATCAGTGCAGATCCACATACTCAACAACTCCAGCATTCCTGAACCAAACCCATGACTCCAGCATCACAGCACTAGAGCTTCAGCTCAGTCTGACTACACGACTCGAGCAGCAGTAACCGACATGTTTCTGAACAGTGTTCTGTCATTAATAATGACATGATCTGATCTGGATCTGAAATCTGCAGTCAGTCCCGTTACACAAGTCTCTGTTTAAGCCTGTTCCTGTTCCTATTTCAACTTTACATGCAGGATCAGGGAGGAAAATAAAAAAAGAGCATTTCCTGCACACAGACACACACACACACACACACACACACACACACACACACACACACACACACACACACACTGAGTGCGTCAGAAGTGGGAAACACTCCTCCAGCAGGGTTGAACTCTCTGGTCTTCCTCAGGCATTTGTGATCGCCTTCACGTCGGACTTCATCCCCCGGCTGGTCTATCAGTACATGTACAGTCCCGACGGCTCCATGCATGGCTTCGTCAACCACACGCTCTCCTACTTCAACGTCAGTCACTTCCAGAATGGCACAGCACCACTGGAGCCCTTTCACCTGGGCTTCCACGTGGACATCTGCAGGTACAGCCATCAGACCTACCTTAAACCCAAACCTTCACGCTAACACCCAACCCTAACTCTAAACCCAAACCAGAACCTCCAACACTAATCCCCTGAACCCTACCCCTAACCCATGACCCTACTGCTGTTGAGTTGCGCCTCATGATCCGCTTCCACTCCCGCAGGTTTAAGGACCACCGTGAGCCGCCCTGGTCACCCACACCCTACGAGATCTCCAAAGAGTTCTGGGCTGTGCTGGCCGCCCGCCTGGCCTTCGTCATCGTCTTTCAGGTGAGCATCTGACACACACACACACACACACACACGGTGTTGTCCCTTCACAAGTAAACGCTTGTGTTATTGAGGTCTTGTAAAGGAGTGTGTGTATGAGACAGTGTGTGGTGCAGATGGAGAGGAGTGTGTGTGTGTGTGTGTGTGTGTGTGTGTGTGTGTGTGTGTGTGTGTGTGTGTGTGTGTGTGTGTGTGTT